CTTCGTGTCTCTCAATCCCAGATCATGTTGTAAAGTGTCGTTTTCTAATATATTTTAAATTCTGCGACAATTTAGCCAGTATTGCATTACGTAATTCAAATAGCAATCTGAAATTGATATGCAAGCGCATATTACATGTGTTAAAGTACTGCACAAATGAAGTTGAAGTGGTTTTCTTTATTCATAATGAAGGTGTTACGAAATTTCCATTTCATAGTATGCTAGGCTTAGTTTATTTCCTTAGCGTTCTCATTTTGTTGTTGTCAAGTTGTCTTGCCTAAATGAGTTGATATTAAGCCCAGGATTGCATACTAATAGAGTTTGCTCTATGTTACATATATCACATAATATTTAAATATACCATTAGTAACAGAAGATATTTATTTACTTCGGAATATTAGCTAGATTCTTTAGAACCTCCCAAGTTCTGTTCGTATCTATCGAGGCGATAAATTAGGTAAATTTCCCAACTACTAGAAATTAGAGTAGGTATTGGTGTTTGTATCACGTGCAGCTTTACTTTGTTCACCATTAAAAGCCTGCTGTTTGATCTTACAGGTATAATCAAGCATGACATAGCTTACCAACGACTGCAAACTATGTTTCTAGACGTTACGAGTTTAATATATTTAATTATCTCTATTTGAGTTTTATGTTTTCATTTCCAAACCATATAGTTTTGACCACAAAATATACCCCCAGGGGGTATGTTCTGTTCGGACCCGGAGCCGAACTCGAATAATTCGAGTATTCAAATATTCAAAAAGCGAATAATTATGTCTAGTCATAACTCGAATAATCGAATACTCGAATACACTAACATTATCAAACTCACAAAGTGCAAATATCTTTATATGCACTTTGTATACTTTCATAAAATCAATTATTTATATTCTACAAGCATTTAAACAAATAGCCATATATTTACAAGCAAATGAAAATAAATATTTACCCTCCTGCAAATGAATATAAAATTACGTGTCTGTGTTCTGGTGACTCGCAACAATAGAGTAAGTAAAATAATTATTTTACTTTCTCTATGCTCGCGACATCAACTTTTGCGCGGTGTTACAATTAAAGGGCGGATTTGTACTGAGTTTATACCGACTAACGATATTTTTTCTAATTTCATAGAAAGCAAAAGACTGAACTTCTACTACATGACCCCCCCTGACTTGAAAGCTGGATCCGCGGCTGATGGTAGGGTAATTTAATAAATCTTTATCTAAAACAACTGGGTATGGGAGTCGTGACTGATCAAAAAATACCTTACGTAATTTATCGACGGCCCTTAATATGAATAGGGAGCTATTATAAAATATCATTATTTCAATTTCTTCAAACTTACTTAAGGAACTATCATGGACAAGGATTTGTAAATAGAAACGAATCATTACAGTATATGGCTTTTAT